CCTCCTTCCTTCCTTCCTTCCTTCCTTCCTTCCTTCCTTCCTTCCTTCCTTCCTTCTTTCCTTCCCTCCCTCCCTCCCTCCCTCCTTCCTTCCTCTTTCTTTCTTTTCCCTATGCTTCTGGTGCTGCACAGGATTTTTCTGCCTTGGAGTTTTTGCCCACTCTTAAAAAAAATGTGTGTGTGTGTGTGTGTGTGTGTGTGTGTGTGTGTGTGTGTGTGTGTGTGCTGTAAGTGCTGAGGCCCCTGTGGAGGTTTGAGGACGGCTTTGAAGAGCTGGTCCTCTCCTTCCCCTGTGAGCTCCAGGTTTTGAATTTAGGCCACCAGGTTTGTGCGGCAAGAACCACTCTTCTCTCTGGGGACTGTTGGTCTTCTGCTCAGTCAGTCAGGCCCTGTGACTTTCTCTGTATATCAAGTGCTTGGAGTTCTGAAAAGAACATCTCTAATCTGCTTGCTCAATCATGGGACTCCTAGATAAAGTTTTATGCTAGGTCATCTCCAGACCCCTAGAAAAACAACAGACAGACTGCCAGGCTCTCAAATGTCCACAGGAGTCCATTAAGTGTGACCACAATGGCAGGGTCATGAGGCAGAGCATGGCATCATGGGAATCCCTCAGAAATAGTTTTTGGGTATTAAAAAACATTCTGGGATTTTCCAGATGAGGCAAAGTCATTGGTTCCACCTGCCTGGAAAACAGTGAACTATGATTCTTACTTACCTGCTCAGAACCCCCTGTCCACTTTATTCTTTTCAGGGGCTGCTGTTTGCTTTCCTTCATTGCAGAGGCTAGACTTTGCAGGGAACCTTAGTGTAGCAGGCTGCATTGGCACTTACCATGAGGTATTGCAGTGGAGAGAGCGGCCTTCATTATGTGTTGTGCAGATAATAATCAAGTAAGTAAATCTTTAAAAAAAAAATGCCTCCCCTAGGAAGCAGTCCAAGTGAAACCACATTGTTTGTGGAAAGTAAGTATTTTAGACCATTAGTGGGAGTGGGACAGACATTTCTCAGAACAGTAAACTCAAAGGGATGCTTTGAGAGCTGAGAGGCGGGCAGCCTCCTGAGGAAGGGGACGCTGTGATGCCGGAGACAGATTGAGTTTTCCTTTGAGTTTAGAAAGGAAGCAAGCATACTAACTTGCCCTGGTCCTCTAGTCCTATGGGGCTTTTCTTTGTTTCTTTCTCTTTTTTTCCTCTTAAATGTTTTCCAGTCCAGTCTGTGGACATTCTGGTGTTTTTTGTTTTCTTTTTCAAATGATGATTGCCTGAGATGACCTGATTTTTTTTTTTTATGTGAATAGGAAAACTGCCCAGATAAAAAGAATTTGAACCAGATTGCTCAAGTCAGAGGCATCGGCATAGCTTGGGCTGTTTAATTTTGTTTTGCTTTTTACATTTTTTTTAAAAAAGCTTTTGTACCTTATGCTTCTGTATTTTACTTACTCTCCCTTTTTTTTTAAAAAAAAATTATATTTGGCTTCCTTTACTTTCTAAACAATGAGAATTTTTTTAAATTACTCACCCTGAAAGCTGCTGTATTTCACAATTACTGTTCCCTTATGGTACTCAGCGCTTGAGCTCTGTTGCCATCACTGCGCTGTTCTTCAAGGGCGGTCTGTGTCGGACCTCTGCACGGTCTTTCTTTGATCAGGATAGAAATCTCTATTTCCATTTTACAGCTGCTTTCTTTGTACACACACCACACACACACACACACACACACACACACACACACACACACACACACACACCTTCTCTTATGACTTATCCTACGGGACATACTAAGAAATGTAGGCAGAAGGGAAGAGAACCTGGAACCTGGAAGCGAGGCACAGTGAAACCACCAAACTAGACCACCCCATGGGTAGAAAGGAAAGCTCTTGTGGAACACAAACTGCCAGGGAATGGAGAACAGCACCCTGCTGGAAAAGCCCTGTCGCTTTTATGGGGACTGGTAGCAGCCAGCAGAGGGGTGCAGTCCAGAAGAGCCGGGGAGCTACCCTGGGGGCCTTTCGAGTTAATCAGGAACTAGATGCCCTTTGTCTAAGGTGGTTGACCACTGGGGACAGATGAGGAAAGTAATGGCCTTCCTGACAGACAGGAACCTGCCTCGTGAGATTCCTGAGGAATGCTGGGTTTAGGTCTCTGTTTCGGTTCCGTGATAGCAGTCCTTCCGTTTGCCAGTCAGGGTTCTGCCTGGGTTGGTTTCCAGCTGTCGTTTACGACACCGTCAGCAGCACGGCCTTGTGAGCTGCTTTGGACCCAAGAGAACCTCTTTGTTTCTCTTCTCTTTGTTAAAAATCTCTCCCTGGTGTATAGAACTGATTTTTGCTGATGATTTTCCCATAACATGACCCATTCCTTCTGCTGTGATTTCTTCAGAGCTGGGAGCACATCATTGTGGCCGTCAGCTTCTCCAGGTGATCATGTGACTCCTGTCTTTTAGAGGGGACATAACTACCTAGGACAGATAAGAACATAAGACGCAGCACGTTTCCGCACAGCTTGGACCTACCCATCCCGGGAACTCAATGGTCTATCCAGGACAACCTGCTAATGAGGAGGATGGGAGCAGAGTATGGAGGGTACCATTTATTTCATAGAGTTCACCTCAGAGCTTAAATTATTTGGATCTCTTGCCACTATCTTATAGAAGAAAAACTTTGGGAATTATATGCTATTCCATGTGCTTCTCATGCAGCCAAAGACTGGAATAGAAAAGAGAGATACCAGAGTAATACCAAGAACTTTGAGTTTATATTTTTGGTTGTGAGCCTAGCCTTTAACGGCTGAGTCATCTCTCCAGCCTGAACTCTGAGTTTAAAACCCCGGTAATCTTCACCATGCATGGAGCTGAGGACTTGGGTGGGGAGGCCAAGCAGAAGTTCATCTCTTAATACATAGAGTCTGGACAGATGTGGAGAATACAAGCTCACAGCAAGTTGGATGGGAACTGAAGGCCAGGTCAGAGAGAGTTCTTCTCAGCACAGTGCAGGCAAAGCAGGACCGAGGGCCAAAGCATCATGGATGCCACGTTGTATCCCCGGGCTGGGTTCCCCACTTCCTCCAGTTCTTCAACTGGAAAAACTGGATGCTAATCAGATTAAGTTTAAGCTTAACATCTTCTTTGGCCTTTGCTATTTGGCAAAGCCTAACTCACAACCTAAATGAGCTGCTTGCCTTTCTTCTTTATTTCCTAACATATATTAAAATAAGTGGGAGCCCTTGGTAAATGGGAATTGAATTCCATAGAAGTCACAGCCCAACATAACACAGCATTCCAGAGAAGGTTGGCATCAGAGTTAGCTAAATGTCGGGCCGTTTTCCTACTTAACATTTTTGGGTAGAGAAGAAAGGGAGTAGAAATAAACTAAAAGGAAAGAAAAATTCTTTGCGGTCATAAAATTTTCAATATTTAAAAAAATGATAGTATTAACAGCCAAACTGACTCATAAAATATTTTAAGAATTTTCACTATTTAGGCTAGAAATGTGGTAGATAGGTTATTAAAAAAAAGAAGAAACTTAAAAAAATAAATAGCCACTTACATTTTTTTCCCATTAAGTAGGAAGAAAAACCTGTTATATAATCTAACACACACTTGATCTGTTCTGCTCTACACCTCAGGGATGAGTAGAAGAGAAATGTGGGAAATTATTTCTTGTGGAGAGCATGTGTGTGCAGCCACTGAGGGCTATGGGGTTTGGAACTCATATTTGGGAGGAACCCCAAAACCATATGAGCAGCTTTGTTAGGGTTTCAAGATGAAGAAAAGGTGCCTTCGGGGAAATTATCCTTACACTCTAATCAATATATTGAGAACAATGGTTTCCCTTTGGTCATGGGGAAGTATCTGCTAAGACTTGATTGTCAGTGAATTCTGAAAGTCCCCAAACAAACCCCCTGCTTCTTTTCACCTTACAGACACAGGTCTGTCCTCCCCTTCTCTTTGTGACCAGGCCTGGCAGCAGTGAGTCAGGCTTCCTCCAGGCATCTTCTCTCCTTGGGTCTATTGCTAAATGTTCACGTGAAATGGTCCACGTCAGCCTCTGTAAGCTGGGCTGCCTCAGTTTGCATGGGGGGCCTCTTAGCGTCATTCATTGGTTTGGTGTGCATATTGTGTGACTGTGTAGATGCACACGTGTGCATAGCCATGTGTGTTTGTGTATGCATGCACACCTGTGAGCACGTATGTGGAGGCCGGAGGACAACGTCAATGTCATTCCTTAAGAGGCATCAGCATTGGTTTTTTCAGAAAAGGTCTCTCATTAGCCTGAAGCTCACCAAGTAGGCTAGACTGTCTGGCCAGCAAGCCCCAGTGATCTCCCTGTCTCCAGCTCCCCTGCTCTGAGAGTATATGTGGACCACTATTTCTGGTCCGGGGTCTTATGAACTTAGGTCTTCATGCCTCAGCAAGCATTTTCTCAACTGAGCTATCTCTTTAGCACCAGGTTTTGTTTGTTTTTTGTTTTTATAATGTTTAATTTCTCTCAATTAAACTCATAAAAAAAAGACAAAAAAATCTCAGGGAAGCCAAATCTTCACCTCTAAGCCCTTAGGTTTTCTGGTTGTTTACATTGAGCCTGAGTTATAACTGACGTCATTACAAAATGCACCTGAACTTATTTAATGGAAGTCTTACAATGCATGGGAGCCTTCATTAAGAAATGGAGAAGAAAAGGATTGAACACTTACATACTCATTAGAAAAGAATAGTATGTTGCCAAAGAGCAAGTCAATTAGGCCAGGAGGCTGGGAGACAGTAGTTACATTAATGAAGTCTGTGGCGTTTTCTCAACCTCCATCTTGTATTTGGGGATCCCATCTCCAGCTTTTAAAAACAATATGGAAGGTCAAAGTGACATTGTGACCCTTAACTCAAAACACAACATGCCACAGGAACACATTTAGGGAATATGGTTTAGCCCCAAAACCTTTGAAACAAATCTACTCCTGTGGGTTGGAAATAGTAACAGCTTTGGAAGCATTTCAATGGTGTAGCTATTTATACTGGATGTCTTTATCAAGAAAAGAAAACTATGGAACATATATTTTGGGAAACAAAACCCTGCATAGCTTTCTGTGCATAAAGAAGCAGAGATACTGGGAAGACCAGCTGAATTCTGGGCCATTCCTGCTTGTCTGGATTTGTAGTCATTCCAAAAGGAAAACTTGGTCCGGACTTGCCCTGACCATCCCAGGATCTCCAGGCAGCGGTTGTCAACTACAGCTGCCCTGTAAACCCCCCTGCGCAGTACAGAAAGTCCAGAGCTCGAGGCTAACTTTTGAGCACTTAAGCCATGTTCTCCCAACAGGACAAAGACAATAGACTATTTTTAAATGTTTCCTCGTGTTTCTGATGAGAATTCGTGTTTAGACCAACTGTGTCCCATGTCACTGGGGAGCAAGTGCTGTAGAAGTGAGGTGGAACTCTCGTTTCATGCCCTTTAAATATTTCACATAAAATAATAAAATCAGATACAGTGAAGGAAAAAGAGAAAACATTCCACAGACGTGACACAGGCTGAAAGCTGGGTGGAAAGGAAGCACGTTCTCCCGTGGTCCTGGAGGCAGGCCGATCTCAGAGGAGAAGGAAGGACAAAAGTCATGTTTTCTATACATTTGCCCCAAAGATGATGGAAATTGTTCAAACATAATTCAGAAACACTTTTTAACTGCTTTGCTTAGCATGTAGGGTCAGTGACCTAAAAGTCGGCCAACTGTTTAAGGAATAAAACTTTTGTTAAGCCTGATCACTGACCCTTATGTTTCCTCCCACCATGGAAATGCCAACAAAGCCCTTGGGAGAAATAACCCTGTCCTGTTTAAATTGTCAGTGTTTTTGTTATTGAAGACGCACATTTCTTTATGTTGACATATAGGGCGCAAATGTTTTTGCAATGTGACCTGTTACCATGTTCCAGGACTTAGGTTATATACTCTACCAAGGATGATTACATTTCGAAGTTTTGTCCTTATAACCATTTATTAGCACCAGATTCTCATTTTTCCTCTTCTTTGAAATGATCCAGTGAATGTAATTAGATGAATTAATTAATTTTCTCCACTTTAATCTGTTTTTGTTACAATTTATATAACATCATAATTTGTAACTATTTCCTTCTGGTACTGATAGAGCTACAGGTTTAGGAAATTATGAAAAAATAAGCCAGTGAGACAGATAAAGGTAGGCATAAAAAATTTAAAGTCTAGCCGGGCAGTGGTAGCACACGCCTTTAATCCCAGCACTTGGGAGGCAGAGCCAGGCGGATCTCTGTGAGTTTGAGGCCAGCCTGGGCTACCAAGTGAATTCCAGGAAAGGCGCAAAGCTACACAGAGAAACCCTGTCTTGAAAAAAACCAAAAAAAAAAATAAAAAAAAAAAAATTTAAAGTTTAGGGAGAACCCTAAACCTTTTATGAACTTCCTCCCAATGTAAATTTTATCAATTGTCATTTTTACCTAAGGTAACAAGAATAAACAAAGCGAGATTATGACCTCATTAATGCAGTAGAAGCAGAGCTGAGCAAAATGTTCCAAATGTCCAGACACTGGATGCAGAGGGTCCAGTGCTCCTGATAGAGGCCAAGGCACTTGAAGACAGACATTTACTCCCAGGAACAGATCAGAAAGTCGCTCACTGGGAACCTGTGTGCTACTGCCCACAATTTAAGGTGTCAGATTGAGAGGCAGACTAATTCAAGATCGCCACATTACAAAGGAGAAGACATGCTTTTAAAGGTCGCAACATGAGAAAGCAGCGTGTGTGTTACCAGTCAGACAAACGTGTTCATTTCCTGTACCTTAACAGTGGCCTAACCATGTTAAGCTGTTTGAACTTTAATGTATTTTATAAAAAACGGAAATGCTAATACTCTTCCTCACAAATGTGCTTGAGGAATTTAAGTGAAACAAAAAAACAACACTACAATATCAGCTAAGTTTGAAAGGTTAATTTAATGAAATACCAACAGGAACAGAGCAGGAGTTTGGTTCTGAGTCCAAAGAATGCAGTTCTTGAGAATGATACAAAGCAAGAGCTTAAGGAGGGACTCACCAAGTCAATCTTCCTGACATTAAAGGAAATGGCTCTGCATGACGAAAGAGTAGAACTTGTCCAGAAACTTTTACCTAGCAGAAAGCATGTTTACGAACATCAGATGATAACTATCTTAGGTCACCTTTGAGAATCTAGGCAAATACCGTGCTACTAACAGGAATATATAAGGTGTAGGTAGAGTCCTAATATCTCTGTCAAGGACATCCCCCAAGGATCATTAGGAACTCTTCCTGAAGGCTCCACCCCTTTCCAACAGCACCATAAGCTTATGTACAACTTATGTACACGGGTCTTTGGAAAACATTTCAGACCTAAATGCAAAGTAGAATCATCTAAATTTGAATTTGCCTGGTTGCTCTATTAACGACCTTGCCTTATTTTGCTACCATTTCCTATAAACCCAATTATTGTTGGGTTTCATTTTTAGTAGACAATACTTCCCAAGTGGTACTGTGGGCTTAACTTTTACCCTGCATCCCAAGACACCAAATGTCTGCTCACTGTTTTTGAGGATGCTAATGTAGCTAAGTGGCTTCAAGTTGCACAGGGTTTGGCTCTCTTGTTTTCACCTAATAGTTTAGAATTTAATATTCATTGTCTACATCCATTATGTCATTAGGAGTTGTAAAGCCTTCTTTTTCTAGTTCTGAAAAGCAATGAAAAGATCAATAAGGGGGCAAAAAATGGCCTAAAATAATAGCTTTCGTGTACTCAGATAACAATAACCCCTTTTGAAGATAGAATGGAAAGAGACACCATTGGGAATAGCAACAAAGAATACTGACAAATAAATGTTGCAAGAAACTTAACATGAGATAAGCTTTCAAACATTCCTAAAGCGTCAAGAGTGTCTGTGGACAAATGGAAAGGCCCCCAAGTTCTTGGACAGGTTGATACGAAGACGTCTGAGTGAGTAGGTCCGGGGCAGAATCCAAAAATGTAACTATATCTAGTCTCCTTCCCCACAATGGCTGGCTCCACGCTTTGGAGCTATCTCTCATCAAATTCTCAAAGGGTGGTCACTGAACCAATGACATCAGTATTGCCAGAGAACCTGCTAGAAATGGAGCTTGTCTTGCTTATCTCTAGACCTATGGACTCAGACACTTGGAAAAGGAATCCAGAAAGCTATATTTTACTAAGCCTTCCGGATGAATTCAGCGTGAGCTAAGTTTGAGAAAGGTCCCTCTAAGCTCAAATCTAACTTGCCCTGGAGTCACCTACACACTTTCA